AAATACATATTTGAGAGAGAGGTTTTTCTTATGAGAGAATGCCCACAAAGACATGCAGAATCCCCTCAAATTAAGTAATGTCTTTAGGAGGTAGAAATGTATTTTAACCAATTACAGCAGAGATATTTTAAAGGCTCATTACTTTACACTGTTAGACATGATATGGTAGATATGTCAGAATAAGATTCGTGGCATTTGATGTGTTTTCCTACTGTAGATTTTTAAACTTCTTTTTACGTGAAAGTCWGAAAGGTGCAGGGTATAGATTCTGATGTTGCTGTTTATCTTACTAATTTCTGGCTCTCTGACTTCATCCACTTTATTGATTCCTGATGGAAGAGGACCTTCTGCTAAGGCACGAGGGGAAGCTGCAGTTCCGTTTCAAAGTGTCTGTGATTTAAAGTAGTTCATTTCTCTTACTTTCTTTTCAGTAAACTAGGGATCATGCTTTAGAATCTAATGTCCGGATTTGCAGTTGTTTTATCCAAGTTTTACCTTTGTCCAGAGACATCTGAAACTCAAGAAAAGTCTGATTTTTTTAGTGGATTTTTAGAAGCTACTTATTAAAAGCTTTRGGGAATCTTGTATGCCTTTTTTCCCCTGACTTTTGCTTACATGCAGCCTAATTGCTCCTAATATGAGTATTAACGATATGGTCCTTCACTGTCCYGTAGCACTGAATCGTGGCCATTGTGCGTGGTTTAATGGTAGAGCTCGTTGCTACGAGGAGGCGCCGCTCGCTGCTTGGAGCCAGTGCTGGGTGGGCTCCAGGCGGTGCCCGGGTCCGTGGGCACAGGGCTGCCCCTCACCTTGCCCTGAACTGCACCTAAGCCGCGTTTTCTTTCCTTTAACATTGCTCTAAGCTCTAGCACTGCTTTGCAGGGGACGGGTTCACCGTCCTGCGTGTGCGGGAACRTGAGCGGGGAGGACGGCGGCTCCTCGCACGGACCCTGTGCTGTGCACGTGGGCACGGGCAGCTCGGGTCTGCATTGAACGTGCTGCGCTCTCACTGCAAGCACCCTCTCAATACAGAGACTCCTCGTTGTTAGTAACAGTGTGGTGATGACCAACGTTTTGAAGATGTAGTGGACGTGTAACCCAGTATATGGTGAGCAGGTAGCCCAAAGCGGTTGCTGCTTTGCCTGCTGTGGGTGTTCGGGCTGGGCGCTCCTGAGCGAAGCTCTTCGCCAGGCGCAACGGGCGCCCAAGGCAGCGTTGCCCACAGTGAGGAAGATGCAGAGGCACCTGGGGGTGTGTGGAAGCCGTTATTAGAGTCCCACCCTTCACTAGCCTTACGTTTGGGAACGTTTGGACAGTGCTGGCCGGCACTTCCAGCAGCAACAGCACTGGCAGCTTTTGGTGACTCCTGAAAGCATGAGCATGTGCCCATCAGCTCTGCTAGAACTCTTCTTTTATTTGCTTGCAGGTAAAGCACCTGGATGCTCCTTTGTGACTGGCAGGGGCTGCCATGGGGCAGCCCTGGTGCCCTGTGCTCACGGGAGCTGGGAGGCACCTCCATAACGAGAGCCAGAAACATGCCCGGGCACTAACGAGCCACCCAGGATTGCCGGACACATCCAGCCCTTGAGCTTTTTAGGGAGAGCCCCTGGCGGCTAATGATTATTTAATGGCAGGGCTGAGCGCCGCGAGCACTTAGCACTGCGAGGTGCTGCAGGGCCTATTTCTCAGGGCTCCCGACAGGTTTATTTGGTCTCACCTTGAGTGGAGCAGCAGTATCGATCCCTGTGTGCAGTTTTAGCCCCCCTTGCCTTGGAATAGCACCGCCTCAGCTGGGGAGAGCCGTGTTAACCCTTGCGGCCGCTCGCCCGGCTGTGGGCTCAGGGATCGCGGGTAGATCTCCCCTAGACCACTGCCACAGGGTGCAGGGTGCGGGGGACACGCTGCGGAGCGCCGTGCACACGAGCTGCAGAGGTTTCCCTGCGGCTTCGGCTTCCCCAGGCTCTCTGGAGACACTCGCTGATGGGGCAGAGCTGTTCGGAGATGGGGCCTCTTACACGAGAGGTGTAAGGAAGGTGCATCTTCCCTTCGGTTTTGGAGGTACTCGGGTGGCTGCAGAAGGGCTTTCTTTTCTAAAAGAAAAAGAAAATCCTCTTCTAAAATCTTTTTCTAAAAGAAAATCCTTTTTGCTCATTCTTACCCGAAACGATGTTCAAGCAGTGGCCACATGCTCCTGGGTTAAGCAGGCAGGACTGCCCCTCCAGCACGGTGTCCCTTGTGACTGAGGGGAGCAGCAGTGCACGGAGATGTCCACGTTTGTCCTGACGCCACCCCTTTCCCTCTCTAATGGCTTGGGAGCAGGTACCTTTGCAAAATACAGCGAGAGGTTTATTTAAGAATGCTGATGTTGCTACACKGAAATGCCTGCACTTGTACTCTCGAGCAAACTTAATTCAATCGGTGTGCAGTTATATGAGTGATGCCGCAGAGTATCTTTTCTTTTAGTATTTCTTAGTTTATGTCTTAATTACTGGAATGGTAAAAAGATTGATTACCAAGTGAGCTGCCTATTAATGAAATCACACTCAGTTCCACATCTCCTTCCTAGGTCAGCCCATTCAGAGGTGCTATGAAAGCAGCCGAAGGAAAATGCTAAAAATGCTTAATGAGGCTGGAAAATAGCTGCTGGCTTTTGGGGGCAGCACTCACCACTAGTCTGCCCTTTGCATTGCCACTTCTCTGCGTTGCAATGAACAGACCTCTGTATTGATGCTTATAACGGCAGGCAAGCTCGAAACCAATGTTTAAAGTGTAGGAGAAAAAGGACATGAGTTATGCAGAAGGGGTGAGCGTGTTGGAAATGTGATGTTGTCTGTTGTGGCGCTCATGTAAATCTCGTAAATACGTTGGAGAYTGTGATTGCTCCCGACTGAAAGAGGCAAGGATCGCCACTTCTGCAGTGTGCGACTGCCCCGGCGCTGCGGGCAACGAACCAAAGACTGAGAAGGGAAATGAACAGTTGCAAGGGGAAGCCTGCCTGTGCTGGCCCTGTGCTTGGAGGTGCCGCGCTGCGTGTGCGCCGCTCAGCGCCCCGCAGCCGCCTCGGGCCCTGCCACACGCTGCCCCACAGCTGTGCCCCATGCACAACTGCCCCGAGTGCAGCTTCTCCTCGGAGGGACTTGGTGCTTCCGTTACCCGCTTGCATGCAGCCCRGGCATTCACCGCCATCCATGCTCCAAAGGCCCATGCCTAATTTTTCCCCTTTCGGAACAACCCAGCTCCCATTCCAGATGTTAACGCGGTGGCTGCCGGGGTCCCTGCCGAGCCGGAGGAGGGAGCTAGTGGGACAGGAATAGCTAATCTTGCCAGTACTGTAGATAACGGAGGCTACTGAGGAGCAGCACCAGTTCTGGGCAGGTTGGGTACGGTGGGGTGTTTGCTCASTCTTCCTACATTTTTCACATAATCACTTCATTGCTTTTTCTTTCCAGTATTCTCAGTACTGATTTTATTGCAAATGTTACTGCTTCATRAGCTTTCAGAAGCACTGGATTTTAAAATTTATTTTTCTGTAGATGGTTTTAATAACTAGAAATCTGTAAGAGCAGGGGGATGCCTTCTGACTCCAGACAGCTCCTTGCAGCGCTGCGGAACTGGAACCGGCGTGAACACGGARAGCGCTCGGGTCAATGGGCTTTCCTTGTATCCCGAAGGCGCCGGGTTCGATGCAGGCTCTGGAGCTGCGCCTGGTTCATGCAGTTTCCCACGCTGGTTCCCTTACAGCCCCGTGAGTCGTTAGGTCCTTGTGCTTCTGCTGGCGCAGGTGGAAGTCGCTGTTTTCCCCCATTTCTGGTACCAGCCTGTACACATGCGTGATCCGTGTGCGTGTCCATGCAGGCAGCCCTGCAGCCATCGGGATCAGCATTCCCGCCCTGCCGCTTGGCTCGGGAAGCCCGTGCCCGGGGGTGTCCTGCACTCCAAGGATGCTGCGGCTCGTCTCGGTGCTGCGCCGGCGTTTCCATCCCGCTGCCATGTCAGACACCTCATGCAATAAGGCACAGCGTTATTGCATTGTATAGCGGCACATATAGAGGAGCTGCTGGGGCTCCCAGTCCATCTCAGAAAACTGCCTGCAGCCTTAATCCAAACCCATTGATTCCTATTCCAGTTAAACCTGAAGTTAAACCTGAAGAACTTAATTTGTCTTTTAAGTGTAAGTGTAAGCTAAGCTAAAATTAATTTTGGCCAAGAACTGAGCAGAGCCAATTAACGTGMTCTTTGGTGTTATTTAGTAAAGTGCTTCAGACTGTTGCGTTGCTCGTGACGCGGCGGCGGCGCTGCCCGGYTGCTGCCACTGTGATGAAGCGATCAATAGCTGACAGCCTTTTAAACAATTTAAACTTGGGGGCTGTTTTGCCTCGCATTTAAGTGCTTTATAAATATGCTCGGTCACTTGGCGCGCTCCCGACGCCACTTCCTGCCCGCGGCTGTTGATGTTCGGCTTTCAGCACGTCGCTTTTATTTGCAAAGATTGCAGCGTGCGGATTTTCTCCAAGGAGAAAGGTAAATGCGGCCGTGGCACCACACGGCACCTGCCACGGGAGCTGCCGGCGGCTCCTCGGCCTCAGCGAGGGACACGGGGACACCCAGTGTCACCTCCAGTGATCTGGAGCTCATGATTTTATTTAGCGTACAATTAATAATAGCGTAGTATTCAGCAGGGCTTTTGGAAATAGCGTGTGTAACGTAACAGTGTGCGGAAAACTAGTTCACTGGCGCATGCTGTCAGGTTAAAATTAATGAAAACGGGGGTGTGGTGATGATCACTAAAACAAGCATGCTTGTATCTAATACATATATGCTATTTAAAATATCCATCTTGTTTAAGGAAAAGAAAAAAAAGGGATTGCTTCTTAGGCTTAACTTGTTGCTCAGATTTTATATAAACAGCCGCAGCTTCCCTCTTCCCAGCACAGTGTTGCCTCAGTATTAATAAACAGCCCTGCTCTGCATTTTCCTCATGTTTCTTGTTTTCTCTTTAGGTTGCCTGTCTGGAGTCCCACAAATGAAAAAAATCTCCACGTCGTACGAGGAGAGGAGGAAGCAGGCGACGGCCATCGTGCTGCTCGGCGTCATCGGCGCCGAGTTTGGCGCCGAGATCGAGCCCCCGAAGCTGCTGACGCGGCCGCGCAGCTCCAGCCAGATTCCCGAGGGATTCGGGTTGACCAGCGGTGGATCTAACTATTCCTTGGCCAGGCACACCTGTAAGTCACCTGGCAGCCCGCTGCTGGTTTTGCTGGTGGTGTCGCAGCTTTGTCTTTTATTCATGTCTCAGTACAAACCTGTTCGTTAGTAATTTCCTTTCAGAAGACAAGATTGAGAGAGGGTGTTTTGGACCCACAGTARAGCAGTGCCGTAATAAACTGATGAGAAATTGTTCCTGATGGAGAGAGGCGACAGGGCCAAGCCTGGGCTGGGCAGGGAGAGCTGCCGGGTGCTGCCGAGCGGCAGCCCCTGGCCCCTGCAGAGGAACATTCAAGCAGTGGCTGCTGCGTGGCCTCCCTCGCTGCTGAACTGCTAACAGCTCGTGTTCTCTTTCCACTTGCACCTCAAACGCGTTTTGTTTTACGCTTTACATCGGCTGTGTGATGCTAACGTTGCAGCTCTTGGCAGGAGCGCTGCAGCCACAGCGCTGTGTTCCTGCGCTGCTCTGGACGTGCCGCTCTGCGGGCCGGTACTCGTCTCCTTTGGGTGGAGCTGGGGTTACCCTGGACTCTGCGCTGCCAGCAGCACCTTCTGGCCGTGCCTCCACCGGCACGGTGTGCACATTGCTGATGCCTTTCCACCCTGCACATTTTATTTATCCCACCCTGAAATTATATGATGCCAGTTGCACAGTGATGAGAAAAGGCCCACAATATTGGGTTTTTTTTCTTGATTACATTATTTTGGTGACTTATTTTGAATTAATTTACGTCACTAAGGTTCTAAGGTAGGGTTTTAGCCATACRAGTTGCACACATTGTGATCACTGTATCTAGAAAATAACGGTGATCCTGTCCCTTTGAGGAGAGGAGACTCTCCAGCAGTCTGCCCGGTGACCTTGCCTGACACCGCACATTAGTCTCCGCTGACCTTACCAGTAGTTCATGCGATATTTAATTATAAAATGCCCCCCAAGAATCCCTCGTTACAGAGGCAGCACCGCGACCGTGGTGCCTCCCCAGGCTCGGGTGACATATCCGAGTGCCGCTCCGTCCCCAGTGTGAAAGCACTCRCTTCCCTTGGTGCACGGGGTATTTTCCAAGCGCCCGCCAGCAATATAGTTATTAATGAGGGGCGTCCTGCCCGGTAGCTCCATCGTGTCGTGTGTGACAACGTGTCCAAGACATCGAGTTTCTCCTGTTGCTTTTGTCCCGCAAGGGCCTCCCGAGGTCACCCACTCACTGCCTGTCCCTGGCTCCGGGATGGGGCTCCGAGTGGTCCTGGGAAATCCCAACCAGCCCTTCACTGCCCTGGAGGCTTTTCCTGGCACCTGTGTGGCCCACAGAGCAGAGCGACTTTGAGCACACGGAGCAGCTCCATTAAAGCCCAGGTTTAGGTGGCACCGGTGCCTGGAGCCAGCAGGGCTCAGCACCAGCCACATCCCCGGAACAGAATCCCAGGAACAGCAGCCTTTGAGGGCCAATCCGGAGAAACARCCCGGTAGCTTCATTTAAACCAATTTTATTAGGAGTAATTAAGAGATTGCTCGCAGTGCATTTCACCCTATTGGTTTTATTTTTGTATCGGGCAGAAGGCTTCGCCGGGCTGTGTGGATATCCCTGCCGTGGTTTGTGCTGTGGCCGTGGTGCTCGGCACGCGCTGAGCTCCAGCGTGTGTTCCCTTGTCCCTGTTGCCTTCCCAAGGAAGCTCCGGGAGCTGCTGCGAGGCGCCGCTGCTGTTGCACCGCCAGCAATGGTCRGTTCTAGTATGACCAGCCTCGTGTCGCGTGTCCCTATGTCCCYGTGACACCTGTGTCCCCCCGGCTGTCCGCAGTGAGGAGAAACAGGTTTTCCGAAAGAAGAGAGCAATTTTAGTCTTGCCTTGCTGCTYTTGTATGGCTGATGCCAGCTCTTACATACTAGCCCTGCAGGCAGTGAGGGCCTGGGCGTTGCGGAGGGCTTCGCAGGCGGCAGCGTCTCTCAGCTTGGTTGCATCAGCGACATGCAGCCTTTCTAGGTGAGAACCTGCATTTCTCATGTGCCAGATTGGAAAACTGAAGAGTCCTGTGTGGATTTTGCTCTTCTGTGCCTGTATGCAAGAAAACAAGCGCCCAAACGTTGTCAATCAATAGTTTGGGTGTTTAATAAGAGTGCTCAAGCAMCAGTTCATAAAAAAGAAAATGTATTTTACTATGCAAGTCAATAAATACTATGCAGGCCAAATTTAAGTGTTTGCACAGTGTTTAAAGACAAAAGAATGCTGAAAATAAGTTCTGTAAAAGGAAGAGCATGTCATACTGCATGTGAGTATAAAAAATGGTTTCTATGATTACATCTTTATAAAATTTCAAATTATTCACGCCATCAAATAGTGTGGTGTGTCRTTTTATTAATTCAGGTCTAGCAGATATCCTCTGATGTGCTCCTGCCTTAGGAGTGCGACGAGAGGTGTCAGAAACATTCCCTGCACTGGAGATAGAGAGGGGTGCCAGGATGGGGATTTTAAGCTACCTCTCCAAACTAACATTTCTCTCTTTCTCTTGGCATTTCACACATGTCAAATCAGGGGGGAAAGTCATCCAGAAAAGGTGATGATTTGATTTAATTTCTTGTAGAAAAATACCGTGCCGCAGACATGGGAGAGGGAGGACTGAAAAATGAGTCAGAGCGGAGATTCTCCCCTTCCATTTCCCTCTGTGGAAGGAGAAGAGGGCACAGAGCGGTTCCGTCATGTTCGTGGTGCCTGTCCCTCCTGTTCAGTTGGAGCTGGATCTCGTGGCAAATTACAGGAACGGGGATCAGGGTTTCGGTGTCTAGTTCATGCCCATGCCATTGGTTTTCCCCAAAAAAAATATATATGAGTGTGCCGCCCTCCATGTGGCGAGGCAGGACGAACGTGGAACAGGAATGCTCTAATAGGAATGTGAGCCCAGCGTCGCTTCCTGGGCTGCGTTTCCATCACGTGGCTCCTGGGGTGGCCCCGTCTGGGCTGAAGGGGTCAGATGTTTTTAAAGAGCAGACCTTGGCTAGGTTTGTTTCTTGGTGATGGCAGATAGTGCATGTAAATCATTAAAACTTACCACCTAACATTAAAACTTACCTAGGTGAGGTGATGTTGTTAAGTGTATGATGTTCCAGCAGGAAGGTTTCCAGCACAGAAAGCCGCTTGAGCAGTGTCAGATTATATATTAGTTTATGAGCTCTGTTAAGGGCGAAGCAAACGCTGAAGCACGCACAGGAACCGGCCGGGTTTGGGGGTCTCTGCTGCCCCGGGATGGGGCCGGCCGYGCAGGTGAGGGAGCCGGGCGGGCGCTGCCCAGGGCGACGTGGAGGAGCCGGCCGCCCCGACCTGCAGAGCTTCTCCAGGGCTAATTACCTCTTTACTGCGCTGACTCTAATGTGACATGTTTATTGCCTTAACTAACAACTCATTAGCTTAGTTGATGTTTTTGTCAATATTAATTCGTTCATTTAAGCCAAATCAAAGCTTAAACAAAGCTGTCCAGGCTGAGCAGCGGGCAGCGGCCGCGCTCCTGCTCCGTGGCCGTTCCCGCCGCTCCGTTCGGCGGCGCAGGGCAGCGGGAATCGCGCCCCGCAGGGCTCCCTGCGAGGGGCAGCTCTGCTCGCAGCCGGGTGCCCCGGCYGAGCTCTTAGCGGGATCCTCAGGGCTGAGGGCCCTGCCGCCGGGAGAGCTCCGGGGCMGCTCGCCGCAGGCACAGGCTGCGGGCGGATCCGCTGCAAACCCGCAAATTCCGCGCGTCTGCCCGGAATGCTGTGGCCGCGAAACGTGGCGGGAGACTGTTCAACCATCCCGGACAGCAGCTCGGCCAGCACAGCTCCTAAACCTAAACCTCATCCTATAGACATCAGTAGGTTGTCTTTACTGCAGGAGAAAACTGAGTGAACGTTATTGCAAGAGGTAACATGTAACTGTGTAGAAATAACGACAAGTTACGTTTCTCTGGGATTATTTCTTCTTTCAGGTGTTCCTTGCATTTGTTAACGTTCGCCTTTAATGASAGTAATTTGTTTCAGGAGATCCCAGGTGCCGTTTTGGGAACATGCAGAGGCTGGGTCAGGAGGCCGCCGTGGGACGTGGCTGGGACAGCCTTGCAGTGCCTCCACGTCAGCCCCTTTTCGGGCAGGAGGTTTGGGCAGGCTTTGCCGCTCAGACACGAGGGTCCCCAGAGGTGGTGGCACTGCAGATGCGTCCCCATGGGGCTGAGCGCTTGGAGCCTGGGGCTTGCTGGGGACGACGCAGCGGCTGAGAAGCCCCTGTGCCCCGCGCTGCACCTGCCCTCCCACGCGGGCACGGAGAGGTCCTCCTGCCCTGCGGGGTCTGCTCCGTGTCCGCTGCTCCCGGTGCCGCTGCCAGCCCCGGCTGCGGCTCCCGGCTCACATTCCTCCATGGAACATCCCGCTGGGCAGGATGCGACACGCTGCTGTGTGGCGCTGYGCTGATGTGTGCTCTCCCCGTGCACGCAGGCAAGGCGCTGACGTTCCTGCTGCTGCAGCCGCCGAGCGCCAAGCTGCCCGCGCACAGCACCATCCGCCGCACCGCCATCGACCTCATCGGCCGCGGCTTCACCGTCTGGGAGCCCTACATGGACGTCTCGGCCGTGCTCATGGGGCTGCTCGAGCTCTGCGCCGACGCCGAGAAGCAGCTCGCCAAGTAGGTGCCGCGCGTGCCGGGCAGCGCTCGGGGCTCTTCTGGCAGGAACTCTGCCTGCGAGGCCGGCGTGCACCGCCAGCGGCATTCCGGCCTTCCCAACCTCCCTTCCCAAGRACAGCAGCGGCAGGGGCTGTGCATTTATGGATTGCTAAGGAATCAGGAGCTCAGGGACTTGTCTGGAGCGTCAGAGCGCAGCTCGTAGTGCCCAGGCACAGGGCTATGGGCGGGCCGCCCTCTGAGCCAGCTAAAACCATCTTCCCACTGGATATTTGTCACTGGGATTGAAGCGGAATGGGAAGTTTCTTAAGTCGGTTACTTGGGCATAAAGCAAATGTTAAAATTATGATACTGTGCGTATTTTTTGTGCTTGGGATGCCACATGCGCCCATGTCCCATATAAACATCCCTAGAGCTCAGCAGCTCTAAGTCAACCTGCAGAGCATTGTCATACCTTCCACATAAACCTCAGGACAGTCGTATGCTTTTACTAAAACCTCTTTTTAAAAGAAAAATGAGTGATTTCACTCAACTTAGTATGATGGACTGTGCTGCTAAACTGAATGAAATAGGACCCAGTTCTCTGGATTTGTTTGCACATCATGCTGTTACCGCACCAGCCCCACTTGGATGTTTGTTAAATCACAGGAGATTACTACCTTCCTCTACTCATAGGMCCATCAGGTTTTCCCCTGTTACGGGGCTAAGAAATTACAACTTACAAGATCAGAGTTGAGAAGTTTAAGGAAGAAACAGTTTAATCTTTYGCAAATAGTATAGATTATTTCTCCAAGGATAATATCACAGTCAGGGCACTCAATTCCGGCTTCCCCAGCACCTCTGGTTCTGGGGACGTGGATCGGGTTTCTGTTGAGTATCTGCAGACTTTATTATCTGTGGCCCAAATGCAATAAATTTCAATTTGGGCCCCGATTTTCACATGAACGGGCCCTACTCACACCATTAATCTGATTAATGGCAGCCGGCCACCCTGCACAGCAAAGGGCTCTGCAGCAGAGCCCTCCTTTTTAGTGTTGTTTGCTGTAAAATTGATCACCTTGTCTGAAGTTTATTCTAAATCTCTGTCTGAATAGATTTTATTTTTAAAAAGTTCCATCTCCCCCATCTTTTTTTGTATTTAGTTTTTATTAAACCGCTTAAGATCAGCTTGCAGAGGGCGAGGCGGCGTTTCGTGTTAAATGCAGTGCAGTAAGGGAGGGAAGCGACCACAGCGGCCTGTTTGTGCATGAGTGTGGAGCAATAACGAGTGTAGAACAGTGCTGCTGTGCTCTCTCTAACCAACGCTTCTTGCTTTCCATGCAGAGCCTTCACACACACCAGTGTCTGTCCAGCAGCGCTGTCGGGCTGCACGTTTGGGGAAGGTGCCCCGGATCCCGCTGCTGTCCCGGGACATGCCCTTATTTTCCATGTGTTGTCAGGCACCATTTTGGAGAAGCTGCCTCCCTTCGCTTCTCCCCTGGTTTGCCCAAATGAGACATTTTTTAGAGACAGGCCCCTGTTTTTCAGGGGAGGCCCCTGGTTTGGGTCCCCGGTGCGGGGGGAGCAGGCGGGCCTGGACAGGCTCCCAGTGCGCTGCCACCACGGCTGTCCCCTCCAGTCCAAATCCTGCAGGGATTCGCCGTGTCAGCAGAGGGACCTCCTAGGGATATTCTGCCGGGGAGTATTTGGGTTTCTTTGCTTTTTCTTTCTTTTTAAATACAATATGAAAATGAAGTCTATTCATTCCTGAAGGGCGTGATGCTTGGTTGGACTCAGTCGTGGACATCATGTTTATTGTTGCCACTCACACTATCAAAACATGTTTCCAAGTAGTCTTTYGGCCAGACATCCTTCAGTCAGGTCCCCAATCACTCAGCAATGTTAAATACTTTTTGTACCTTTTAAGAGTATCAGTTGATTTGCATCTAAATGCAAAGTAATGCAGGACTAATCACAGAATCACAGAATATTCAAGGTTGGAAGGGACCTCTAGAGATCATCTAGTCCAACCTTCCCACCCATAAAGGGGGCAAAACTTGAAAATGGTGTCCCAGTATATTTGTATTTTTTTTCCAATCCACTGTTATGAACAAAATTACCTAAATAAGGTCTATAAGCACAGARAGCTAACCAAGAGCTCCAGGCTGCCTGCCGGTAGCATCAGCTGCTCTGTAGCAAACTAGGTAAGGGCTGCAAATGTAAAGCTCAAGTTGGGTATTTAACTCCCAGTTATCTCCGTCAGAGATGGGTTCRTTACGGACACGAGTCCATGGAGCTGCCAGCGCTGGCTCCGGTGCCGCTCRTGGGTCCCAGGCCCCGTGCAGGGTCTGTGCTCCTGGATTGGGAAATCCCAGTGGAAAACACTGTGGGTTTGGGAGCTGCCCGGCGTTACCAGGGTTCCCAGGACTGTAGCTCCTCTGTAGGGTTATTCACCGGGCTGGTGCTGGTCTTACCCGATGCATGTTTATCTCCTGTGCATCCACAAAGGCTTTAAACCACTGGGAATCACATCAGTGGGGGTGCGGACTGCAGATTTTATCTTTTTTCCATAATAAGAACTATCTTGGGCTGTTAACGTGCGCTCAGGTAACACAGTTGCTTTAACTGGTTGTATTCATGCGTCGCGTTCACGCAGCAGGACCTGCCTTGGTCCTCGGAGCGCTGTGCGTAGCTGGTTGGTGCTGCTGTAGACACGCGGCTGTGTGGAGAGCTGTGGGTGCTGCAGGCGGGAGGGCGCGCGGGCGGGCGCCGTCCTTGCTCCTCGCGCTCCTGACGCTCTCTCCTTCCCTCCCTCCTCGTGCGGCGCCTGTGCAGCATCACGACGGGGCTGCCGCTGAGCCCGGCCGCCGACTCGGCGCGCTCGGCGCGCCACGCGCTCTCGCTCATCGCCACGGCCCGCCCGCCCGCCTTCATCACCACCATCGCCAAGGAGGTGGGTCCCGCACACACCGAGACAGGCGGGTACCTCCCTTCCRCCCCGAAGACGGGGAGAACGAGGGCAATCACCGCTCAGAGCGGCGCCCTGGGATGYTCGGTGCCCTGGGATGTCCTGCCCAGCAGGGTGGCCTTGGGCATCCTCATCCTCAGGTCCTCAAGGGAACCCGACTCCAGGCTGGGGCTTCCGCCGACCTGGAGGACAGATGAGGTTCAGCGGCAGGCCCAAATGTGTCTATGGCTGCCTATAGAAATCTGTGCAGATATGCGGAGGTYGTGTAAAGAAGTCAAGACCCAGGCATTTGATTGCCTTGATCTTTAGTTTTACACAGCTAAGAATTGTTCAGAGTCAAACCCTTGTTTAAATACTGTGTGGAGGATAAGCATCATCCGTACAGTATTTCAGTCTCCAACCTAGTGCTCGCTAGCAGCAGCGTGAGGGGGAGATAACCCATAGGTCTCAAAGCAAAGCACAGCACAGATTTTCCTAAAGTCATGTGTTAGTTTATGCTCAACTTGTGTCTTAAAAAATGCTTGTTTTGTGATGCTGTGTGAAACACTAAAATGTCCGGATTGGCCATAAGAGGTTTCGTTCTTTGTAAATGATCCAGTTTTKAAAATTGTAATTTTGAGTAGTTCTTATTAAATTGAAATACTTTGGGCTGCCCTTCCTTGCCCACATCGCTCAGAGCTGGCCCGAGCAGCACTAGCTGTTGGGCCAGTTACTTGTGTGTAGCAGCTGAGCGAAAGGCGGGTGGGTGGTGGGCAATGGGCAGGCGGGACGGCCGCGGTGCCTTGTCCCGGCGCCGCGGGGACGTGGGGCACCGCGGCTGAGCCGAGCCCGCTGCGCGCCCGCAGGTGCACCGGCACACGGCGCTGGCCGCCAACACGCAGTCCCAGCAGAACATCCACACGAGCACCCTGGCGCGCGCCAAGGCGGAGATCYTGCGCGTCATCGAGATCCTCATCGAGAAGATGCCGACCGACGTGGTGGACCTGCTCGTGGAGGTATTGAACGCAGGGTGTTGTGAACGCAGGCAACGCAGGGTGTTGCAGTGCCCGCCACGGCGTCCGCGGGGCCTCTCTCCACAGGGAATGGCGCTCTGTTTTTYCCTGGAAATCTTTAAAGCTGGGAAGGAAACATTGGTAGGAGTTGGTGGGCTGAGGCAAAAGAATGCTGCYCGGGATAGAGCTCCCCTCACTGCCCGTGCTGCCCTTCGCCTTTATTTGCGGCGAGAGAAATCCCTGTGTTCAGAGGAGCTTGTGGGAGCACCTCTTTTCAGAAAGAGGCAAAGGTGGGGCTTTTCCATGTGGGTTTGAGACAGGCTTCCAGGCACAGGCCTCAGGAAATAGGAGCTGCTAAATAGGGAAGTGCGYGAGAGAGAGGAACAGAGAAGCTGCCTTATTCCAGTAGGTCGTATGCAAAGAAATGGAGACCAGGTCAGGTTTAGACAGGTCCTCACTGCTGGGTGGTGAGCAGAACGAGCAGGAGAGTTTGCAGGACCCTGGGCACACAGCAGCAGTACCCGAGCATGGGGAAACACAGCAGCCTTGGGGTCTCTACCCRCTGGTGCTGACGAATACCAGTGAAGAATGGCACGGGTACAGACGATTGCTGTCCCTGGCATTGATGCCTCTTCACCCTAGAACTACTCACAGGGTCCCAGCAGCTAAGGCTTGCTGCTGATTTTTTGGTTTATAGCTATTTGCTGGTGCTGGGCCGTGGTGTGGCAGCACGGTGCCTCTGCACACCCCGCTGCATGCARGATAGGTTCCTGTTCTATCCCAGTCGTGTTTTAAACTTAGATCACAAAGCTGCACCCAGACACAGCAGTCCTCTCTTTCTACCTGTTTGTAACTTGTGTTATGAAATGAAATCCGCAATGTCCTGCACTGAATGGCTTCAACTTTTGTTCCCCAGGTTATGGACATCATCATGTACTGCCTGGAAGGATCTCTGGTCAAGAAGAAGGGTCTGCAGGAGTGCTTTCCAGCCATCTGCAGGTARGCCCTTCCTGCAGGCACAGAGGTATCTCCTGCAGCTGACCCATGGAGTGAAGYGGAGTTTTGCCTTATACTTAAAACATCGAACATGCAGAGTGCAAGCCTTTATAGGGCTTTAAATCCCAGTCTCATCTAGCGGAGATACAGATCAGAAAGGTCTGTTTTACATAGGGAGACGCTGTGCATCCTGTAGGAAAGCTCCGTGCTGCTCTGCTCCGCGCTCCCGGCCTCCCTACCCRGGGAGCCCCAGGCACCGGCCACAACAACCGCCTGCCGCCCGTGCAAGGGTCTGTGGCCCCTGTCTGTCCCCTTTCCTGGTGACAAGGGTCTTGCCGGGTGGCTTCCAGGTGGCGATAGGCACAGCCTACTGGAAGGAGTTGCAGAGCTGGGAAGCAGAGCAAACAAAACCAGGTTTTGCTAAAAAAGAAGGGTTTTGCTCTAGGGGCTTTGGGGGAGCTGCTGCTGTCTCAGCAGTGGCGGCTCCGCTGTGTGAGCTCCTTGGAGCTGCGGTTGATTCCTGGAACGGGAGGTTCCTTGGTGCCCGCCCTGCTCCCTGTGGGCTGGTGCASGGCAGGGAAGCACCCGCCGCGTCCAGCCGCCCCCATCCCCACCCTGCGGGACCTGAAAAGGGCGCCTTTAAATAATAAAGCCTGATTTATAAAACACGAACCTTTCCAGGGTCCTCAGCCCATTATAAATATCCCAGTTATACTGTTAAACCAGTACAACCAATAAATTAAAATATTCATCTGTCGAGTGTTACATTTTAACTTAATAAGCTATTAAAATATTGAGGAGCTTCAAGAAAAGAACCATTATCCTGTTGAAAGATAAGATACTGATAGAGGTAATCTTCCTGCTTCTTGATACTTTAAAAGGTTTAAGTTAAATTTAAGTGCAAGAGCAAGTGGGAATTAATGTAAAAACTCTCCCTGTTTCACTAGTACCTTTATAGTGATACGTTGTCTTAAAACTTTGTTAAATTGCTAGCAGTATTTCCTCTTATACATAGTTATAGCCATTGTAAAAATGATGCAGCACCCCGCCAAGCTCATCATTGAGCCCAGTGGAAATTTTCTTAAGATCTTAGCAAATCACTGAATCTCTGGAGGGGTTCCAAGTGGAAATGCTTTGACATAATCCTATTACTAATTCTTTAATATCCTAGTGCTCTTTCTGCTTCACTGTATTGTGTGGGCAGATGCTGTGATTAAACGGTTCGGCTGCCGGAATGCCTGTGCTCGGTGTGCAGGCCTCCTTGCTCGGGCAGGGGCATGGGCATGGCACTTGGTGAGCTCGCAGTTTTGGGCTGCCTGAAAGCACCGGGTTCTGTTTCCTCTGGTTTTTTGCTGCCCTACAAACGTGGCAGTCGTGCTGTTAATGCTGCGATGTGGCTCCATCCCACCTGGTGGCCAGAGGTGAATCCATGCTAAGCAACATGTTTCATAGCTTATTATTAGGGAGCGTATTTGTGTTTCCCATAAGTTGTATTTTTTATGTGCAATTTTATTACCCTTTAGCATGTTATATACAAACTCATTTCTTAACAAAATGAAGTATTGAGAGAATCCAATGAATCAGAAATATTTTTAATACTTAAAAAACTCATCGTGCTATGGTGATAGCGAGGACAGCGTAATTCTGTTTGACTTGAGCAGTTGCATCCGAGTGTCCCTGATGGGATCTGCTTGCTCCCGTCACCTGTTTGGTTCATACTGTTGATATAAAGCCTTCTATATATGCTTTCACAAAAGCTACATTAATTTAAAATAACAGCAATTTTGCCTGTCTTTTTCTAGGGAGCAGTTGGTGCTTGGAGGATTAGCCCCACAAGCTGCTCCGCAAGGCTTTGCAGGCAGAAACTTGGGAAGTTATTTGGAGCCCAGCAGTTGGAGGCTGGGCTGGAAGGCCCCTGTGGTCGTGCTCCAAGCAAGCCCAGAAGGGCTGGTTGCAGTGGAGGGATGGAGAAAAGAAAGCAGTGGGGTTGGAATATGAGCGAGGAAGAGCTGCAACAGAGCGCAGAGCCCCTGAGCCATGGCAGGGTGCCTGCAGATTTAATCTGGGCAGGATGCTCCGCTTTAGTAACCATGTCCTGAGATGAAACAGAAGTGGCTTTAGTGAACATTTGACTTCCCTTTTCTTGCATTGTTTCCTCTATTTAGGAATCCACATAGTAGTCTTTAATTACAGCAAAGTGCTAAAGTCTGATGAATTTAATGTAGCTTGAGGAACTCATGGCACTTATAATTTTGGAAGGCCAAAGAGTGTTGCCTTTGTAAACAGTACCTCGTGGGTGCTCCACAGTGTCTAAAGGCCCTGAGCCCTGAAAATAAACTGATAGCTTAGTGACAGTCTGCATGGGAAAATAGTAGATCTGTTGAATGTCAAAAATACAAAATTGCCTGAAATTGAGGCAATGAACCCCAAGATTCACTTACGCCATCCAACTAGATAGGCAGGTGCCACGGTGCTTAGCTACCTGGAGGGTGAAGATGGAGACTAGAGTGGCCCGCTGAGGAATCCTGCTGGGAAATTTAAGCTCAGGAGGGTCTGTTTCCGTGAAGCTCGCTCTTTCTTTTCCAAACCCTCTGGCTGTGTAGCCGGATGGGATTTTTCCCCTCTGCAGAACCTCTGGGCCCGGCTCCCTGTGGAAGCAGCCAGGATGTGCCAGAGGGAGGGATYTGCTCCAGCAGTGCCCATGGAGCAGCGTGGCTTGCAGAGGGAGAAAAGGGTTTGGAGGAAACCTGCTGCTGAGCTGTGTCCAGTGTCAGGAGAAGGGGCAATAGATCATGGCATGATACTGCTAGGATTGCTGTTCCGAGCCGTAAATATGGGCAGCCCTGCGTTTTTACAGGCTGAGTGCAGCCATCCCTGGCAGGATTTGCTACTGTAAAATGCAACTGTTAAATTAAAATTTGCCAGAAATACAGGTGCTGCTTTCCCAAGGAAGCCTGCCGGGCGGACAGGTCGGGTCTCACCCGTGGGCTGTCCTCGTGTCCCTGCAGGTTCTACATGGTCAGCTACTACGAGCGGAGCCACCGGATCGCGGTGGGCGCTCGCCACGGCTCCGTGGCGCTCTACGACATCCGGACCGGGAAGTGCCAGGTGAGAACATCCGCGTGAGCCGCAAGGCACAGGCGGCCAAAAGGCCTGACCCGCTGCGCCGCCCCGRGCGCTGCGCTGAGCCGGGTGGGTGCCGCCTGTGGGCTGATTTAAAAAGCCTAAATTATATTATAAAAATTATATTATATTATATTAAAATTATTGTATTATAAGACCTAAATTATAAAAGCCATGGGCAATACTGCTGCCCAGAAATTAGTAAATAAATCTGATTTAAAAAATATGTTTTATAGGAGTTTTATAGACCTATCTGCTATATTAAGCATGAAGAAACTCCCCTGTTTTTTTTTTTTTTTTCCCCTAAAACTCCTCCTTATGGAACAATGTGTTGTTTATGTTTAAGGTATTTTCGCTCTTCTGCTATTAAATGAGGTACTATTAAATAAGGTAAAATTTTCTTACCAGCTACCATGGGTCTAGAACTGGATATACTTAAAGGTAACATTGAAAAAACTCCTTTACTTGAATTTGCTTAGAAACAAAAATATTCAAATAACAATGCATTTATCTTCCATCACGTTTTCAGAAAAAATAATTGCTAATATGCTCTCTTCTTCCTTGTAATATGTGATCAGCTGTTCTCAGTGAGTTTCAGTAGCTTTGTATACGTTTTGAATCTGCTTTGCTAGTTCTTTGTGCTGTCGTGGGGGCTAAATGTCCTGCTGGGCTGCGCGGTCGCTGTCCCCCATGCAGCGCCTTGGGTTCCCTCGCCTAGGCAGGCGGCCTGGCGAAGCCGGGAGCACCATGCCTACAGATCCGTGTTTACAAATAGCTGTTTAATGCCAGCGAATAGGATCCGTGGATATTTTGTGGATTTTTAATTTAATTGATTTTGGATTGGATTTTTAATTTAGCTGATGGGTCCCCACGAAGGTGGTGCGTGTTGGGGTGTCAGGTGGGGTTGAGCATTTGCAACATGGTTATTTGGAGCTAACAGATAATTAGTAAGATGACTTGTCTTCTGGTTGTGCTGTGGCTGATCCTGTGGCTGCTTTTGCACAACTGGCCTGATTTTGCTTACAGAATATATCCCTTTATAAGCAAATTAGAAAGCACAAGTGCAGCCATCCCTACCCCCGGGCTCTGGGGGACAGGCAGTGGGGACAACCCGTTCCTCGCCGGGCTGCTGTGCTCGTGCTGCACGGGCATCCTCGCGTTTTGGACGGCACGGGAGATTCCTCTGCTAAATGGCTCCAGGGAAAACAGGTGTTTGTTGGCATAGGGGGTAATTCTGCCATGTCTTTCTTGATAGTAGGAATTCCACTTCATGCTTCCATAAGTGTTTTAGGCAATCTAGAGGGCTGAAGCGCTTTTCGGAAGCGTGGGGACAGCAGCGAGCTCGCAGCTCCCACATTTCTGTGGCTGTGTCTGCTTCCTGCTGGTGAGCCCTGCTTGCCTTGGAGCAGCCTGCGTGCCTCGTCCTGCCCCTCTCCTGTCGGTGCTTCCCTGCCTTTCCAGGAGTCCTGCGCTCTGAAGGGGGCCGTGGAGCCGGGGTTTGCAGGCTGCTTCTCCGCAAGGGYTCCCAGTCCTGCCTTCCTGGGACGCTGCTCGGTGCAGCTCAGCCTCAGGAACTGGTCCTCATGGCCCTGGGCTGCGCTCGGCGCTTCCCGCTTCCCGGCCTCGCAGGGAGGCTCCAAGTGCTCCGCCAGCCGGGCATCCTTGAAGGACGCGGCAGCGGCGGCCACAGCTCCCTCATTCCTGGTGCGATGGGGAAATGGGGTGGTGCAGGAGCGGGATGGCGAGGGGGCAACGCCATCTGTCGGGCACCGCTTCCTCCTGCCATCCCGGCGGATCCACGGCCGGGGACACAGCGCGGCGGCCGGGGACACAGCGCGGCGACCAGGGACACGGTGCGGTGACCAGGGACACGGTGTGGCGACCGGGGACACAGCGCGGTGACCAGGGACACGGCGCGGCGACCAGGGACACGGCGTGGCGACCGGGGACACAGCGCGGCGATCAGGGACACGGTGTGGCGACCGGGGACACAGCGCGGCGACCAGGGACATAGCGCGGCGACCAGGGACACGGCGCGGTGACCGGGGACACGGTGTGGCGACCAGGGACACAGCGCGGCGATCAGGGACACGGCGCGGCGATCAGGGACACGGCGTGGCGACCAGGGACACGGCGTGGCGACCGGGGACACAGCGCGGCGACCGGGGACACGGCGCGGCGACCAGGGACACGGCGCGGTGACCGGGGACACAGCGCGGCGACCGGGGACACGGCGCGGCGATCGGGGACACAGCGCGGCGACCGGGGACACGGCGTGGCGACCAGGGACACGGCGCGGTGACCGGGGACACAGCACGGCGACCGGGGACACGGCGCGGTGACCGGGGACACGGCGCGGCGACCAGGGACACGGCGCGGCGACCGGGGACACGGCGCGGTGACCGGGGACACGGCGCGGCGGGCAGGGACACAGCGCGGCGACCGGGGACATGGCGCGGCGACCGGGGACATGGCGCAGTGACCAGGGACACGGCGCGGTGACCAGGGACAC